TTTTTTTTTTTTTCTTTTTTTTTTTTTTTTTTCTTTTTTTGGTTGTTGTAGTTGTTGTTGTTGTTGTTTTGGGGGGTGTAGGGGTTTTTTTGTTTGTTTTGGTTTTTTGTGGCTTTTGTGTGTGTGTGTGTGTGTGTGTGTGTGGTTTGTTTGCTTGTTTGTTTGTTTCCCAGACATTCAAGAGAGAAAAATAGGGGAAAAAATCGGGTGTAGAAACAAAAGGTTCCCCTCATTCCGAAGGACAGCTGATTGTTCCCTTGGGCCAACTCGTGCTCTGCTCGTTGAGGTATTTCTGTACCAAAAACTCATTCCTCCTTTCCCCACCGGCAGCACTGAGGTCTTGATCGTATCGAAATGATAACAATAAAAATATCGAAATGAGTTAGGGTCGGGAAGGTTGGGGGTGTCAGATTTAAATCGTTCGTGGCTGAGAAAAAAAAAATAAGATAAAATAAAATGATAAAGCGAAAAAAAAAAGTTAAAGCATGGGGTTTGGCTCGGAAGGAGGGGAAGCTCTGTTGTTCCAGCTCCGCGCAGACGGACGCACTGCCGTGTGTCCCGTCCCACATTTAGGCTGTAATTTATGAGCTCTGTTCCCAACGCATTGAGTCAGCATCGGAGGAGCCGGCTCTCAGATCCGGATTCCAGCAATGTTTAGATCCAGATTTCGATATTGAAATACCCTCATTGGCATGCAAATGCCACTTTAACACATCCAAGTCTCTGGAAGAAGGCCATCTGGTTTGCTTTGTGGCTTTACACTAATAAACAAAAGGTAAAGTATATGGCAGGCTGGGAAATGAAAGAAATCGAGGCAGCGCTGGCGGGAGCCTTTGGAGACAGCCCCGCTGCCTCGCAGATAGCTGCTCTTGATATGGCCGCCGCGCCTGCAGATCGGGGCTTGTTTCTTTTGACACCGAAGTGAAGAACGTTTCGTTGGCTCCCGGCGATCCCGCACAGCAGAGCCGCTCTGGCAGCGCTGCCCTGCAGCTATGTCGTGTCAGGCGGTGTCATGCGTGGAGCTTCCAGAGGCAGCGGGGACTCCGGGCACCCCCAGGCACCCGCTGTCCCCCTCCCCGACCTCTATGCTTTTGGCACCTCATGGAAATGTCACACTATTTACCCGCAATAACTTGTTTGGGCTTTCTCCAGAAATACGAAGGCAGCGATTGGAAACTGGCTGGGAGCACCTAGGGGCCATCCCCTCCCCCCCGCCCCATCCTTCGGCAGCCCTTCGGGGTGGCAACGCTGGGCGGGGGGGACACGATGCCCTGGGTAATTAAATGTGCAGCCCTTTGCGAGGGGCCTGGGACGTGAGGAAAGAGGACTCGAAGACAGTTTCTGCTTTTGAAGCGTGCTCTGTTTATGTAAGTGTCACCATCCATCCCGAGGTGAAAAGGTTAGCACTTGACCCAGGAAGCTCTCGTGTTTGTGCTTCAGAAATAGATCGGGGTCATAAATTCCTCCCAGTTACAGCGGAGGGCCACATATTTTTTCTAAAAATAATGCTGTTTGAGCATAGGAAAGGAGGAAGGTGCATGTTTATGGGGCGGACCGGGCAGGCCGGGGAGGATGAAGCTGGGACCCTCCTCCCTTCTCCCCTCGGAAGTGCCCAACGGCGGAAAACGTGGGAGCCGAGCAGTGACGTGCCAGTGACGTCACGCAGAGGTAGACACACGAGGTATACCTGAAAGCGGAATATATTTATTACAGACATAAGGACCCGTAAATCCTGCCCTGGGTCCCAGCGGCGGGAACCGCAGAGCCCTGGTGATTGTACGCAACGTCGGGGGACTCGGCTCCCGCCCGACAGAGCTCCGTGTCCCGAGTACAGCACACACGGGGCGGCATGCAGCGGCCCGGACACCAACCACAGAAGTTATACATTCATTTGGCCATCCGACACATTCACGAGTGGGTCGAAAAGACATCGAGGCTAAAGGAGGGGGGATACGGAAACAGGAAGAGGTGAGGTCTGTGGGGCGGCAGTGTCCCTCTGTCAGGCACAGCCCAGCACAGCTGTATGGGGGAGGGAGGGACGAGCACACAGGGTAAGGTTTACAAAACCTAGTGCAATTGAAGCCTTGTTTGTCACGTTTTGGGAAATAGCGCTACGCTTTGAGGTATCTGCTGGAGCTTAACACGTCTGCTTGATGCTGCCGTCAGCCTGACCGATAGAAAAGCAGGTCTGGTTTGGCGAATGCACTCACCCTGCTTCACCTGATCATCTAAACGTCTTCTCTAGAAAAATCTGTAAAAAGATAAATCTCTCGGACAAAGTATTTACAAGCAACAAACTCATAGACACGAACAAAGTATACATTAAATTAAAGGGTGAAAGTCCTAGAAGTCGTGTAAACACTTGCCATAGTGCATCTCTTCGTGAGGTTATGTACCCTCCATGACCTGTCTGTCAGCCAGTGAAACTCAGAGGAACATCCTTGCGGGGAGGAGGGAGAACCCACGCGTGTGCCAACGCAACTCCTCCGGCAAGGAGGTGAGGAGGGGGGAACCGAAATAAAACCTCTCGGCGGCAGGGGCCAGGAGCGGCCGGGCCGACGCCCCCGGGCCCGACCAACGGACGGATGGAAGGACAGACCGACGGAGCGCACCGCAGCTCGAGGGAGATCAGTTGGTGGCGGGACCCGGGTCTGAGGTGCAGGATGCGGGCGAGGCGCTGCAGGGCGACGGGCAGCACTTCTCCGACGGGTCCTCCGCCTTCTCCTCACAGCCCGTGGGGGTGGTGGGGGAGATGGGCAGCAGCCCCTCTTTCTCCCTCTTCTTCTGCTTCATCCGCCGGTTCTGGAACCATATCTTCACCTGCGTCTCGTTGAGCTGGAGGGAGGCTGCGATTTCCACCCGCCTGGCCCGGGTCAGGTACTTGTTGAAGTGGAACTCTTTCTCCAATTCGGTAAGCTGCTTGGTAGTGAAGTTGGTACGGACGGTGTTGGGCTGCCCCACGAAGCCGTACTCGCCGGCCTTGCCTGTGAGGAGACAGGCAGCGTTAAGCGAGCGCAAATGATTTATAGGCTGCGTAATCGATATGCCCGCAGCGGCCGAGCGATAGGGATTCCTCGAGATACGGGAGAACCCCCGGCAGGGTGAGTGATGGGGTGCGAGGTGCTAAACTCCCGGTGTCGGGGGAAACTCGGGAAGTGCTTTGTGAATTACACGAAATACGACCGCGGGAGGGGTGGGAGACAGACCGAAGAACCGGCGCCGGCTCCCACCCAGCGCTGAGGGCACAAGACCCAGCCGCCCCCGCGAGCACCTGCACCCGCCTCCCCCCGCCGCCCCGACGGCGGTGCCAGAGCGAACCGGGCCGGGCTGCCCCGCTCCCGCAGGCCACTGACCTGTTTTAGGGGGGTTCCTTTTAACTTTCATCCAGTCGAAGGTCTGCGCCGGCGGCGAGGTGTCGGCGGAGGGGGAGCGGGAGTTGTCCTGGTGGCCGGCGTGGAGGGGAGAGAGAGCATGGTTGTAGGTGCCCAGGGGCAGGCTCTGCTGCTCCTGCCCGTACGGGGAGGGCACGTACTGCGCGGGCCCCCCCGCGTAGCCCTGGTGCGGGTGCTGCGCTGCGGCGGAGGAGAGGCTGCCCGAGTAGACGGCGGGCGCGCAGGGGGGGAAGCCGCCGCCCAGCTCGGCGTCCTGCCCCAGAGCGTAGGGGCCATAGGCGGCGCCGAAGCCCTGCGCGCCGTACGTCGGGGGGCAGCCGGGATGCGCGTAGGACACCCCCAGGCCGCCGTGGTGCTGGTAGGCGGCAGGCTGGGCCGGGGGATGGTGGTGCCGGTGGGGACTGAGGGGCACCCCGCGGCCCACGAGGAAGCGGTCCTCCCCGCTGCAGCTGCCGGCGCTGACGGCGCAGGGTTGGAAAGTTGTAATTCCGTGCTCAGGGTGGTAGGAGCGGGCGGCACAGGCCCCCGCCTCGCCGCCGAGGACGGGGTACTCGAGGAAGGAGCTCATCCTCGCAGCGTGCCGCTGTCACGCCGCCGCCGCCGGGTCTTCAGCGTCCGGCGGGGCCGCGCCAACTTTCCCACTTCCTCCATGGGGTCGGGAGGAAAATGACACGAAGGTACCGCGAGCGGGGAGGCACGTGGGGGGCGGCAGCCAATGGCTGCGGCGCCTGCGGGACTTTCCCTGCTCCTGCCGCTGATAGATCGCCGCGTCGGGGGCATTTAAACGCCGAGCGCTCCGACGGCGCGGCACGGCGCGGCGCGGCTCAGCGGGGCAGGGCGGCGGCGGCCCCCCGGGGGGTGAGGGGCAGGGCTGCCGCGCCGCCGGGGTCCCGCCCGCTGGCTGAGAGGGGAAGGCAGCGGAGAACCCGGCGGAGGAGTCCGGCCCGCGGAGCCCGGCCCCTCCAGGGTGAGTGGGTGAGTGAGTGAGTGAGCGAGTGAATGCCTCTGCGGCGGGCCCTGCCGGGCTGCCCCTACGCCGACCCGGCTGTCAAACTGGTGCCGGGCACTTTTGCCGTTCTTCCGGCTCGGAATGGGGAGGGCTGAATCCTCGGCATGGGGCGGGGGAGAGGTGATGGGGACAGAGCGGAGAGCATCAGCGCTAGGGACGGCGGTGAGGATGTGACCAGGGGTGAGGATGGAGACCGTAACGGGGATGCTGACGGGGATGAGGATAATGCGGGGGATGAGAATGGGGCCGCTGCTCCGGCTCCTTCGCAGAGCCCAGCGCGACGCGACGCCAAGAGTTAAAGGGGCTTGTCCAGCCGCATCACCAGGCGGCCGCGGACATTAGCATGGAAATGAGGCGCTTCGGGGACTGACGGCCATTGTGCTCTGCCGGGCACGCCAGCCTCCCCCTAGCCCGCATCTCCTCTCCCCCCGCACCTTCTCCGGACTTCCCCGCTTCAGCCGGGGCTGGGGTAGGGGAGGGGGAGTCGGGGGGCTGATGACGGGGCGGAGGCCCGCCGGGCTCCGCAACCCATCTGCCGGGTCCCCGCGGCGCGCTGCCACCCGCATATTTCGGACCGGGCGGGGGAAGGGTGCCCGGTGTGCTGCAGGTCTCAGGCCGGGGAGGCGTCCCGGTGCAGGGCCCGGAGAGACGCAGGAGACTCAGGGCCCTCAGCCCGACCCTTTTGTCCCCGCGCTTTGCCACCGCCCAGACCGGCAGTGGTGGGAGGTGGCAGATGGCCGGTGGCAGAGGTGGCCCCAGGACCCTTGGGAACAGGGCTGAGCATCAGTTTAAGCTTATACTTCCCCACCCCCATCCACGGGTTTAAAAAAAATTAAAAAAAAAAAAAAAAAAAAAAAGGGTCCGTGGAAAGAAAAGGACGGGGGGCGATGGGACGTGGGTTGCGACCCCATATTCTGTTTATATATGCGGAAAGTGAAAGGGGATGCAAAGAGCGGGCATCCATCCGTCCCAAGGCTCTCGTCTATCTTCGGGGAGAGGGGCTGGCACCAACGATCCTGTGCTGCTGCAGGTGCACTCCCGGCTCTTCCATCTCTGTGTGCTCGCTGCTGCTTGCTTTGAAATCCCAAAGGTTCCCCCTGCCCTGCCACCTCTCCCTGCTCACCAACACACGCGCACACTCGCTCACCCGCAAGCTCCTCCCTCCACTCCGAACCACAACATCCTCCACATCCTCCCCGAGGTGCGGGCTCTCCCGCTGCTCTTAGGTCAACCCTTACCCCGTGCCATCCCCAAGGCCTCTCTACAGGCAGCAAAAGCTGAAGGGCCGCTCTTAGGATTTCTGTTTGTTCTGATTTACTGAGCAGGCACGAGTGGCTGAGGGCCCTGTGGAAATGTTCTGTTTCTTAAACTCCGGGAGGGGGAGGAAGGAAGGTCGTGGGGAGAGCGACAGCAACAACACTCCGGGGGTGTTTATGGCATTATACTGCATCAGTGTGGGCTGTGGTAAGGGATGGAAACACATTCATTTCATTCCCGTAAACCTGTTGTGATAAATATAGCATAAGGCAGAGCAAGGAGGGCCACTGGGACTGTTTACAAATAAAAGAGCTGGCATCCTTTCAGTGCTTTTTTTTTTTTTTTTTTTTTTTTTTTTTAACATCAGCCTTCGAAGAAAAAATATGTATTTTTCTGCAAATGAATCTGTTTTGCCCGTAAATCCCGGCAAATTACAGCACCTCTTTTACAGTCTCCAGCATCCTGTAATCCTTTTTTTTTTTCCTTCCCCTTTTCTGTGCCATTGTTGGGAGCAGCCCCCATCCCTTTTGTTGCATTGTCTCTCTCGCGATACTTTGGGTTTTCGCTGTCGATTCTGTGTGAGGGGCAGAGGCTGTAGGGCCTGGGGCAACCGCTGCTCCTCTGCTGCTCCGCTCGGGAACCGCCGTATCCTGCCCGAGAGTGAGGCCCACATTTAAGCTTTGGCGTGGGAGTTCTCCCCCCGCAGCCCCCCGGGGCTCATGGGGAGGAATTGAGGCGACTCCTGATAGCTGCACCCCCACGTTTATTTAAATCGAGTTGGACAAAAATTGAAATCTTGTCGGGGATTTTTATTCCTCCCTCTTTTTTTCCCCTCTTCTTTTAAATTTATTTTTTAATACATATATTTTTTATTTTTTATGCATTGCCAGCACGCAGACATCGGGCCACAAAATGCCCCCGCACACGGCAGCCCGTTTCGGCCCTTGCCAAAGAGGTGCGGGGCCACTGGTGCCTCCCGCCCCGCGCAGGGCTGCAGCGGGAGGAGGACAGGAGCGGGGCAGGGGTTTCGCCGCGGCCGCAGCTCAGCCAAGCTGTTGTTTTAAAGGAGCAATAAAAATGAATTATGACTAAACGCCTTCTCACTTAATGGTTTTAGACGGGGATCCCCAGCCCCGGCAAATACGTAAGAGGATTTTTATTTGTGCATGTGTTCCTGCAATTGATCTCTTTGATGACATTCTCATTCATAGAAAGCGTTTGATTTATGACTTTAGGAAGAATTGCGTTCAGCCCTTCCAGCCATAACCCACGCATCCCGGCTCCACAACGCGGTGCAGAGCTGCGAGACGGCTCTCCGTGCACAGACGGGCAGCGCTGCGCCGTTCCCAGGCCCCCGCTCTCCTCGCACAGGCTCCCCACGCACGGAGCCGCGGCCGCCGCCCCTCTCGCCCTCCTGGGAGCCCCCATTCGCGTCCCAGGGAGGGGATTCGCCCCGTTCGGGCCCGGCCGCACCGCTGCCCGAGGTGTGCCGGGGGTTTCCCAGCGCGGCTCAGCGAGCAGGGACCTCGAGGAAACCGCAGTTAGGGAATAAAAGCTTTCCCTTTTGGGTCGCCCCCCAGGATGGGGTTGAACAGTAAATATCGTCCTCCACGACCCCTCACCGCCCCCAAAAAGGACCGAGCGGAGGGTGCGATCCCTCCCCCAGTTATTTGTGCGGCCTTTGGCTGTTGCAGGCTCTAACTTCTCCCTTCCTTCTCCTTTTAGGGCTGATCTCCCGGACCATTCCGCGCGGGAGGACCCATCGAATGCACTCTGTGAGCTCAGATTTTTAATGTTTCCCAGCCAGCCTGCTGGCTGCTCATTATGGTCGAGAACAAAATGCTATGCTCGAAAAGAAAAAGAAAGAAAAAAAGTAAAAGAAAAAAAAAAAAAAAAAGCGAGAAAAAGCCTTCCGTGAATGTACCAGGCTCATTTCTGCAGGACCGTGCCCCTCGTTTTGTCTGTAACAGAGAAAGCTCTCCCTTACGCCTTTGTTAGAGTTGGGCATTCTCAAGCTCCGCGTCCTCACGGAGATACTATGGTTATACACTAAAGGGAAGAAATCGCCATAGGAGCTGGGAACGGTTTGGGTTGGTTTGTTTGTTTGTTTCCTCTCCGCTAACCTTCGAAATAAAGAATTTGAACGTGTTTTTCCTCTCTGCTAAATGTCCTGCTTTGCCAACGAGAGAGAGATGGCAGGGTTTGATTATTAGCGAGTTAATAGTGAGTTAATACCCGTTGTATTATCAGTGCTCAAAGGAGAGAGGGAGGGGGGAAAAAAATAAGGAAAAAAAAGAGAAAGCGCCTTGTAGCAAACAAGAATTTATTCTACCAAAAATACTTATGACAACGTATCCTAATGCAATACAAAAATAAAAAGAAAGTGACGATACGATCCCTATATGATCACTTTCTTACAGACCTCATATATTGCTTTCGTCGAAGGACCTAGAACGTGGCTAGGTTAAAACCGAAGACAACTAAAACTTGGTCAGAATCGGTAAAATGGCACGGTGAAGGGAGGGGACAAACAGAATGTACCGACCGGGGGGGGAGGGGGGAGGGGGGAGGAAATAAAATTAATTCACTGGGAAAATAATAATAATAAAGGGGAGGAACGAGGAGGAGAAGGCAGGACCCTGGGAGAGGACGTCTTTAATTTCTCAGTAATTCAGATGCTGCAAGTCAATCGTGGTGAGCGTGTCTGTAAAAAAGTCAAAGCTGTCAGCGGAGATATCTACGGGGCTGTCCAGAGAGCCCGGCAAACTGGGGGAAACCGCGTCTGAAAGCTGGAGGCAGGAATCTGTGGAGAAAACGTTGAAGTCCTGTAAAGAGGGGACCTCGAGGGCCTCAGGACTGTCATTGTTGAGGCCAGCTGCGCAGTTCTGGGCCATTGTTGAGAGGCAGTTTTGAACAGTGGGTGACTGGTGTTGAAAATGTTTCAGATTTTTCTCATTGCTCGTTAAAGGCGAAACGGGGAAACTTTGGGATTCGCCATTGTGCGCATTCTGCGCCTGCTGCTGCGAGAGCGCATTCTGCTGAAACGCGTACCCCTCCCTCTCCAGCAGCGCTCCCGAGACGGTGCCGAGGGCTTGCTCGAAGAGGGCTTTCTCCTCCTCCTCGTCCTCCGCCGCCTTCTCGGGGTCTTCCAAACCCTTAAATTTCCCCTCGCCGTTCTGGTTCTCCTTGCACTGGGTCTGCCTCTTGTGCTTCATCCTGCGGTTCTGGAACCAGACCTTCACTTGCCTCTCGGTCAGATCCAGCAGCGCTGCGATCTCGACCCGGCGCGGTCTGCAGAGGTACTTGTTGAAGTGGAATTCTTTCTCCAGCTCCAAGAGCTGCGTGTTGGTGTAGGCCGTCCTCAGCCGCCTAGATCCACCGCTGCCACTATCGGGGATTTCAAGGGGGTCTGTTAAAAAAGAAAAAGAGAAGGCGAACCACCGCCACCACCACCACACGCACACGCGCCCCGGAGCGCAGCAAAGAACGGAGGCGAAGCAGAGCCCCGCGCACGTCGGGGAAAAGCGCGGATGGCACCGCGGTCCCCGAGCCCCTCGCGGCCCGTGCTGGAGGGGGGGGCAGCGCTTCTCCCTCTCTCCCTGCGTGGAAGCGACTCTCTAGCCATATGTCCTCGCAGCATAAAATAGCGACTGCAACAAAATGGCCGCCCTCGGCCGCGGGACCCCATTGTGCGGCGCCCGGAGCCCCCCGGCCCCTCGGCGCGCCCCGCGGCCCCCGCTCCGCGCCCTCCCCACGCCGCGGCCAACTTTATATCGGCCATAGCGCGATTGATAATTAATGCATCAGCCGCCGAGCTGAGCGGGAGCAATCTATCACTCTTCATTACTGTCAAATAGCCCGGCTCTAGGACAGCGAGACAAGAGAGGTCAGCTCCAACTCAAATAAATCATCCCGCGTTGGGGCGACTCGGGAAAGTTGGGCTCCGCGCGGAGCCCCGTCCGAGAGGGGGCTGCGGGCGGCCGGGGGGCGGCGAGCCCCGGGACTGACCTTTGTGGCTGAGGCAGGCGGGTCCGGCGGCTGAGGCGGAGGCCGAGGCGGGCGGCAGCGAGGATCGCTTGGACGCCTTTTTCTCTTTCATCCAGGGGTACTCCGGGGGCGGCGGGGCGCCGGCGGGGCCCGGGCTGCCGCTGCGGGCGCGGGGGCTCGCCTTGGGGCGGCCGCCGCCGCTGTGGCGAGGGTGGCCGCCGGGGTTCAGGCTGGGGATGGTCTGCTCGAAAGGAGGAGGAATCAGTGTCGAGTGTGAAAGCGTCGAGTTCTTGATTGATGAACTTTGAAATGTATCACCGACAGGGGGAAAAGATGTCAGGCACTCAGCAAGCGATGGCTGACTATTGATAAAACCGATCTCTCGCTCGAATTCGAAATTCATGGCCTTCAACTCGCAGCCCCCGCGGAGAAAAAGTTCCCTCGGATGCCGGGGGCTCGGGGGGGGAAGGCCCAGGAAAAAGGAGAGAGAGGAGAAAAAAATATATCATAGAAGATCGCTGGTGGGGTGTTTTTTTTCTAATTCACTGATTACGGCCGTATGGGGACCGTGCTACTATTAAACTATTGAATTCATGGAGACAAGGTTGAAATTGGACCGAATTGGCTGTCACATGATTGCCTCTGCCCAATGACAATTTGGGCTTTAATCAAAAGAAGCCACTGTCTGTTTGATTGATCCAAAAAAGTCGGGAAGGAACGCCTCATTGGGGGCCAGAAAGGCTTTATTTACACTTTTTTTAAAGAGGGAAACGGTATCTCCCGCATCCATCCCCTCGGCGTCCTAATCTGAAATGATCGGGGCGGGGGGGAGGGCGAGGGGGTGCGTTGGTGCGGCGGCTGCGGGGTGTGTGCTTGTGTCCGTGTGTCCCCGCGTGTGTGCGCCCGTCCTGCAGCCCGCTGCCTCCTCGCCTCCGCCCGCGCACTCTCCCCTCATTGTTTGGGACTGTCAGGAAAGCGCTTTGCACCTCACAAATCATTTAAGCACCTCAATCTGACGCCGTGAGTCATTAACAAAGTCGTCCATTAATCTTCAAAGTTTTGACACCGCCAGGCCCCCACATAAGAAGTTGCACCCAGGCAGGAGTCTCGAGTCTTGATTTTTTCCTGGAGAATAACACTTCCTCCAAAACTACTTTACCGCTTCAGACTCAGCCTCCATGGGCTCTTCCTTTTTTTTTTTTTTTTTTTTTTTTTAATAGTTTTTTTCCTTTTTAATTTTTTTCTTTCCTTTTCATTTGTTC